GTTGGCACATGCGTTTAGGACATATTTCTTTTGGTTATTTGAAACATTTATTTCCTTCCTTATTTTGTAACGTGGCAGTGTCAGATTTATCCTGTGAAACATGTCATATGGCTAAACATGTTCGTTCCAATTATCCTGCTAGTAATAAATCTGCTTTAACACCTTTTGATCTTGTTCATTCAGATGTGTGGGGTCCTTGCCCAGTTACTTCTAGTCTTAGATTTCGATATTTCGTGTTGTTCATTGATGATCATAGTCGTGTTACTTGGGTTTATCTTATGAAAACCAAAAATGAGGTATACACCATTTTTAAAAAATTTATGACAATGGTTCAGACTCAATATGGTCGTACCATTAAAAAATTCAGATCTGACGAGGGTACAGAGTACACTTAAAGGGAGGTACAACGGTTATGTATAGAATTTGGGATTGAGCATCAGATGGCTAATGTTAAAACTCCTCGACAGAATGGTCATTCTAAGAGAAAGAATTGCCACATCCTTGACTTAGCCAGAGCAATCTGCATTGGCATGAATGTTCCCCAGTCATTTTGGGGAGATGCAGTTCTTACCGCTGTTTACATCATTAATAGGACTCCTTTTAGGATTCTTAACTTTGCAACCCCACTCTCAATCTTACATCCCAATTCATCTCTTTTTTTGATTCCTCTGCGAGTCTTCGGATGTGTGCGCTTTGTTCAGCAGTCGGGGCAAACTCGTACAAAGCTTGACCCCAAGGCTTTGAAGTGTGTGTTTTTGGGCTATTCACACTCTAAAAAAGGTTATAGGTGTTACCGTCCTCCCAGTCTTCGGCGGTTTATATCCATGGATGTTTCCTTCTTTAAGCATACACCATACTATAGTGGTTCAGGTGGTTCTCAGAGTGAATGGTTCCGATTGAATATAATGGATGATCACCTTCTTCCGTCTTCAAATCCTCTAACATTACTTGTTTATTCTTCTATGATTCCTCCTCGTGATACCCCTCCAGCAGGGGGAATCGTCCTTTTTCACAGGTTTATAGTCGGAGACAATAGGTACAAGCTTCTACTCCCACGATCGATTGCCCTGTTCCTTCGGCACCAGCTCCGCCTTCTCAAGCTATTGTTTCGCTTGATGATCGCCCCATTGCTCTTCGAAAGGGTAAACGTTCTTGTACATACCCTATTTCTAATTATGCTCTCACCCTCCTATCGGAGTCTTCTTGTTTCTGTTGCCTCGGTTTCTGTTCCTTCTACTGTTGCTGATTGTAACGACCCACTCCACCACATGGTATGATATTGTCCGTTTTGGGCCTGAGCCCGCACGGTTTTGCTCTTGGGCTTCACCCCAAAAGGCCTCATACCAATTGGAGGTGACACACTTACATATAAGCACTTCACCTTTCCTCTACCCAGGCGATGTGGGACTGTGCACCCGTAGCTCGCCAGTGTGGTAGCCTGACAGTGTCTCTCGCACCCGCCCACGGCACACCCGCCCACAGGGTCATCACAATCCACCCCCCTTGGAGGCCCGACGTCCCCGTCGGCACACTTCCGGCTGGGTCAGGCTCTGATACCATTTGTAACGACCCACTCCACCACATGGTATGATATTGTCCGCTTTGGGCCTGAGCCCGCACGGTTTTGCTCTTGGGCTTCACCCCAAAAGGCCTCATACCAATTGGAGGTGACACACTTACATATAAGCACTTCACCTTTCCTCTACCCAGGCGATGTGGGACTGTGCACCCGTAGCTCGCCAGTGTGGTAGCCTGACAGTGTCTCTCGCACCCGCCCACGGCACACCCGCCCACGGCACACCCGCCCACAGGGTCATCACAATAATGTAATACCCCGATAATTTTAAAAGATTTATTAATTAGGATTAATTATTTTATTTTATTTTTCAATGCTTTATTTTATTTTATTGAGTGCTAGATTAATTATCTTATTTTAATTAAGTTATATTTCGTGATTATGTATGATGATTGATTGTTTGTGTGGTTGATTATTGATTGAATTATTGGTGTGTTGATTTTATTGGTATTATATGACTTAGTTGTAAATTCTTGTTTGTTTATGTGCTTCATGTAATTAGTTATTTTAATTTCTGTATTTAATTAATTATCTTATTTATTTAAATTAATTGGATTGGGCTTAAGGAAAGTTGGACCAAAAGATGTGGTCTTGGGCTTGTATGAAACCTTATTGGGTTAATTAATGAAGGTCCGTGGTTATTTAATTATTTAAATGATCACTTTTGTATCAATTATATATATATATATATATATATATATAATTATATATAAATATAATTAATTAATAATTGTTATGGAAAGATATATATATAGATATATATTTATTGATATTTATAAGTATATATGATTTAATTAACTAATGAGTTAATTATGGAAGGAATATATATTTATATATAATATATGTTTATAGATATAAATTATTTAAAGGTTATTATTTTAATTCATAATACTAGTTGGAATAGGATTTGGAATTTAAGGTGTATAAAAATACACATAAAGCTTTAGGGTTAAAGGTTTTACACGTTAGAAAAATAAAACAGACAGAGAGAGAGGAAGAAGAAGGGCTGACAAGGAGGAGGTCGGATCTGAAAAGGAGGACGTCGAAATTGGAAGAGATAATTAAAGCTTAAAGCGTCGGTTTCGTTTCGAAACCTTCAGGCGAGTTTTCTCTAACTTTCCTCTTAGAACTCATAAGGATTTCACCTTGAGTATCAAGGCTTTAATTAAATTTATTTGTTTAAAAATTATGGTTAGATCGGAATAATTAAAAAGTATAAACTATTATATTTGATTTTTAGATTATTGGATTTTAATTGATATATATAGGTGTTATGTATATTTTAAAATCAATCTATAGGTGGATTTGTGACCCAAGAGAGTTAATTATGGTTTCTTTATTTTCTAGAATTGTTCTGTAATTTTCTGGAATTTTTCTGATATTTTTAGGAATTTATTAGGATTTATTTTCCTATTATTTGTTAGGATATATATATATATATATATATATATATATATATATATATATATATATACTAGGTAACTGGCGCATGTGGAGCGGCGGCACAATAAAGAAGAATTGATCCAGTGCGGCGCGGTGTAGGATAATAGGGTGTATACGCCAATTAGGGCCATTTGATTTATTAAACTTATGTGAATTGATATGGTGCATCGCGGCGCATAAAACTTTGGTGCGCATGTGTATCTGGACCATAGAAGTGGTCTGGTCAACTATGGGATTATTTGGTGTATTGCAGACCATGAGAAGATGGTGCACTCGCTGATCTGGACCTTAGATCTATTATAGTTAATAGAAAATAATCTAGTGTGAGCGTGTTCATTTGCGCACTCATTTATGACCATTGGATGCGGCATAAAGGAAGTGATGGATTCAGTGTGGTGAGCTCACGGTAGCTGAAAGAGCTTAGCCAATACCAGCACACAAGGAGGCTTGAATCCAGCGCGTGCAAGTGCATAGTAAGCACGTGGGCGCGCGTGGGAAACTATGTTGGCCTAATTCGACACTAGAAATTAAAACGGTCATAACTTAGTCATTTTAAATCGAAATTGGGTCATTCTTGAGCTCAAATTCAAGGATTTTTCGTCTTCTTTCCAATGGTACCAATTTCATTATCAGATTCCCATCCTACTAGGAGATATTTATGTTTTAGTGAGAAAGTGTCGGAAAACTATTTAAACCAATATGGAGTATTTAAAGGAAACTATTTCTGACATATTTAGTTGCACTAATTTGTGTAAATATAATAAATTAATAATTTGTTATTGAAGGAAGTGTATATATATATATATATATATATATAAAATTATTTATATATGTGTATATATAGTTTAATTTGTCTATGAGTTGTATGGAAGGATGAATATATATATATATGTATGTATGTATGTATATTGATTTTAAATAATCAAGGATTATTAAAGAAGGTGTTAAACACATAAATACATTAAATAACATATGTGTAGGTATATATATATATAAATCATTTAAGATGATTAATATTATCATTCTTATTTGGCATATCTTAATAGGCTGGTTGTTAAATTAATGATATGCGTATAATATGCATGTGATGGCTATGTATGATTTAGCGTATTGTTAATTTTAAAGTTAATTCATGGTTAAAGTGTGGGCATGGATGAATTGTCAAATGATTAAATATATTACCTAAATATTTGTATGAATAGAATACATATATGGAAAGCATGGATGAATTGCTAATTAAATGTATGAATAAATATACCTGTGGAGGCATGGTTGAATTGCCAATGTATAAATATACATACACGGAGGCATGGTTGAATTGCCAATGTATAAATAAATATACTTATGGAGGCATGGTTGAATTGCCAATATATAAATAAAAATATTTACAATGGCATGGTTGATTTGCCAAAGCATAATTACGTTGTTATGTGTTAGATGATTAAAATATCATCTATGGTTGTTGTATGTATGGATTGGATTAGAGTTAGATATTCTTAAATGAGAATAGTTTAGTACTTACTGGTTAGTGTATTATTTTCCATTAATAAAATAATATTGGGGAAGACGTGGATGATTTGTCAAAACTTGGATTTTGGATATGTGATTTAAACAATTAAAATCATTATCGGGTTGGGATTAAATAGAGTATTTCTTTTATTATAATTTGTTGTTTAAATGATTAGACAACTGACTAGGATGGGATTAAGGTCAAAGGAGTTTTTATAAAATGAAATGGTAGATTGGTCTAGGTATGAATATTATTTTAATAATTATTTAATAGGTATGGAAATTTAATAAACCTATTAATGGATGTGATTAGTATAGTATATATAATTATATATAGACATGTATATCGTGCTTTATTAAAGTTAAAACTTTATTAGGTTTGGTTTTGATCAGAGATGATCTGCTTATTGGTTTTCAGAGGCCTGGTAGAGTGAACTTGCTCGTAGGGTTTAACCCACGATTTATTTTTCAGGTTCCAGTCTCGAGGTTGAGGATCCGCAGCTGGGAGACTGTCATTCGTCTATTCATCTTGTGTACTTTTAAATAGTATTGGATTATTGGATAATGTTTTAAGGGGTCCTTGAGTTATGGGATTTCCGAATTGTAATTGTTGGAGAATCATTAAGTAATATTTATTTATTAGTTTTCTTCAGCGGTTTATTTATTCTTTATTATTCATCTTTGTATTCTGTGCTTGTTAAATACTTAAATTGTTTTGATATCCCTTGATTTTGTGCGCGGACTTGATCAATCCGTGTTCCAAAATTAGGGGGTATCACACTGATGCACTAGCACAACCTCAATGGCGTGATGCTATGACAGAAGAACTACAAGCACTTGAGAAAAATCAGACTTGGGACATGGTTCCGCTTCCTATTGGACGAAAGGTTGTGGGTTGTCGTTGGGTGTTTACAGTTAAGCATAATCCAGATGGGTCAGTTGCTCGTTACAAGGCCCGATTGGTTGCCAAGGGTTATGCTCAAACTTATGGCATAGATTATCAGGAGACTTTTGCCCCTATTGCCAAGATGAATACCATGCATGTATTATTTTCCGTTGCTGCAATTCGATCTTGGCCTCTATTTTAGTTAGATGTAAAGAATGCATTTCTCAATGGTGATTTGCAGGAGGAGGTGTACATGGTTCCTCCTCCGGGCTTTCGCTCTCCTTCTCATTCTGGTATGGTACGTCATCTTCGTTGTTCTCTGTGTGGCCTCAAGCAGTCTCCTCGAGCTTGGTCTAATCGCTTTGGCACTGCTATGCTCAAGTTTGGTTTCCATCAAAGTGCAGCTGATCATACCTGGTTTTTACGTCATTTAGGCGGTAAGACAGTTGCTCTCATTGTGTATGTCGATGATATTGTTCTTACCGGCGATGATACTACCGGAATTGATGAGGTTAAGAGCTATCTTGGCCGTCAGTTTGAGATTAAGGATCTTGGTCCCCTATGGTACTTCTTGGGCATTGAGGTGGCTCGCTCCAAGACTAGCATATTCATCTCTCAACGCAAGTATGTTCTTGACTTGCTTTCTGCTTCTGGTCAGCTTGGCGCTCGTCCTGTTGATGCTCTGATTGAGCAGAATCATCGGTTAGTTGATTCTGAGAGGAAGTTGTTGTCAGATATTGGTCAGTATCAACGACTTGTGGGGAAGCTCATTTATTTATCTATGACTCGACCTGACATTGCTTATGCCGTGAGTGTCGTGAGTCGATTCATGCACTCTCCTCATGCCCCTTACCTTGATGCAGTTATTCGGATCCTTCGCTACTTAAAAGGGTGTCCAGGCCGTGGTATTTTGTTTGCCAATCACGGTCACTTACGTGTTGAGGCTTGGACAGATGCTGATTATGCGAGATCAATTTCAAATAGGAGGTCTACTTCAGGTTATTGTACCACTATTGGTGGTAACTTGGTTACTTGGCGCAGTAAGAAGCAGGATGTTGTTTCTCGATCTAGTGCAGAGGTAGAGTATAGGGCTATGGCTCTTGGGGTAGGTGAGTTGCTTTGGCTGAAAACCTTGATGACAGACTTGTGCCTTCCAGTGTCGCTTCCATTCTCACTCTACTGCGACAACAAGTCTGCCATTAGCATAGCAGCAAATCCCGTTCTGCATGACAGTATTAAGCATATAGAGGTGGACCGTCACTTCATTCGAGAGAAGATCATCTCTGGTCAAATTTGCACTCCATTTGTCACAAGCTCTCAGCAGCTTGCAGACATTTTTACAAAGGGCGTTAGCAAGATTGTGCTTGAGAATGCATTGTCCAAGTCGGACGTTTCAGATATCCAAGCACCAACTTGAAGGGGAGTGTTAGCATATATAATACCACGATTTAGTATGACTTACTATGCTATAGAATATGCCATAGAATATACTTTAGAATAAGTTTTGATTTGATTTTGATTTTTTTTAGTTTCCTTTCTTGTAATATGAGCATGTGCTCATTTTATCTATAAATATTAAAGCTGTGAATGAATAATTCATATCATTCAAGCCTTTACGCAATTCTCTCCTTTCTCTTCTTTTTATATATTTCTACTGTGTTACTAGAGGAATCAGTGGAGAAAAATCCTCCTTGTTTCCTATTTTCTAATTCTTTCCATTCTCATAATTTCTTCTTCTATATAGAGGAGCCTCCATCATTGTATTGTGTATGAATTAAGAGAGAAATTTTTTATTTTTTTTTCTTAGTTGGTACTCACACAAACATGCCTCCACCGAGGCTCGAGCCCTTAACCTTCCTTTGGAAAGTAAGAGCTTGATACCGCTAGGCCACTGGCCTGTTGGTAATTATTAAGAGATAATTTAATGAAAGTGATGTAACCCTTTGGGCTCTGTCGTTGATGTAGGCCCTAGTGATTGAACCACGTAATATCCGTGTGTTCTACTTGTTTTATTTATCTCTTCTCTCCCGTTTTATGCTTTCCAACATGATATCAGAGCCTAATTTCTTTTCCCAGGTTCGGAACCCTATTTTGGGGTATTCCCTTAGCATCTGAAATGTTGCTAAGGGTTTTTCGATGCTATTTGTGACTTGTTTGGGCTACCGGTTTGTTCAGCACTAATGTTCTTCGCCTTTGTCGTGCCTCCGACAGTTTTTATTAACTTGTTTGGCTGCCGGTGTGTTCGGTAGCATTGTCCTCGCCTTTGCCGTGTTTCTGGCAATTTTTTGTTGACTTGTTTGGGTTATTGGTGTGTTCAGTAGCATTGTTCTTCGTCTTCGCTCTTCTTTCTTCATCATTGACACTTGTTACTCGTCATCTCAATGGCAAGTTGGACATTTATGCTCCAACTTAAGGGGGAGTATTGAAGATTTAATGGAGCAATTAGTGGAGAAAAATCTTTCAGTAATTGATGTTGTTCTCTATTATTGAAGATTTGGTGTTACTAGAGGAATTAGTGGAGAAAAATCCTCCTTATTTCCTATTTTCTAATTTTTCTCCATTCTCATAATTTTTTCTCCTATATAAAGGAGCCTCCATTGTATTGTGTGTGAATTAAGAGAGAATGTAATGAAAGTGATTTAGCCCTTTGGGCTCATTGTGCCGTGGATGTAGGCCCTAGTGGCTAAACAACGTAATATCTGTGTGTTCTACTTGTTTTATTTATCTCTTCTCTTTCGTTTTATGCTTTCCAACAAAATAAGATATAATAATTATGAGAGAACAATTATTGTATTAAATGAGGTTATGGTAAGAATTTGTAGTTTGCCCCAAATGTGCTGGTATCTATAATAATTAATAGATTTTAATAATTATGTAATTTGACAATGATAATACCTAATAATTAATAAGATGACACATTTCATAATTTAGCATAAGTGGTAAATATAGGATGTGATTTGATTGGTCGGATGGTGGGTAGTCTGGGACCGACCCTATGATGACTTGTTAGGATTTGTCTCGACCTGCCTATTTGGGAGTGTTTTACCCATTTGTTGTGGCCATTGGGTTGAGCGTGCCCTTATTATGTGGACATGGTCCGGGACCATCTGGGTGAGTAGACGTACAAACCCAGCCACGTGTTCGGTAGTCCAGGACTGCAACTCAAACCACTTTGTTGGAGGGGAACCCGAGGCTCATGTGAGCTAAAGTGGCTTTTAGTAAATGTTAAGTAATGGTTGACCAATTTGTGTCACTTAATCGAGAACATAGTGATATGTGAATTGACTTGAGATAACTCTATGAGATTAATGTACCTTATTTGAGTTGCCTTTATATATGGAATACAAGGTAAGGTTGACTTGCTGAAAAATGATTGCGTTTGACATTTTTTGCTGAGCTTGTGAGCTCACTCCTTTATCATAATAAACTTAGTCGTTGATTGGACACGTGATGGAGGCATGCAATGGAGATGGACACTAGCTTATTTATTGTTTGTTCAGTATTCATTTATACAGAACGTTTGTAATAAGAATGATGTTAATTGGTGGATTCTATTTAGTTGGTCTTCATGTCATGGACTCATGTTGAACTAATGTAATTGTTAGATGGAGATTGATTTCTTTTCAATGTTATTGTGGATGGTTGTGGTGATTTGGTGTACTGGAGAAGGGTTTCTTTTCTTGTATTAAAATTTGGGAGCGTGACAGCGGGTCGTGACATTTATACTATGCATTTAGAATAACTAACAATCTATAGTAGTTTCTTAAGGTTTATGTATTTCCAGATCATGTTTTTCAGTTTTTGACCATTCAATTTGCTATGATTTTTAGGTTCCTCCTGTTGCATTATTGCCCAATTGTCTTGTGCAGCAGAAAGTTCTTTACCCATTCCGCAAGCAGGTGAAATTATCATACTTGGATAAATATTCTCTTTGCATTTTAAGGTTCAAAACAAACAGACCACACTCTGCCGTAGGTAGGAGGAACAATTTTGGCAGCAAAGCTTGCAAAGGAGCGAGGTTGGGCTATCAATGTTGGTGGTGGGTTTCATCACTGTTGTGGAGACAAGGGAGGTGGTTTTTGTGCTTATGCAGATATCTCTCTTTGCATTCACTATGCCTTCATCCGGTTAAATATTTCAAGGTACTGAGACTTGCAACTCATGTTAAATAGATACAGCTCTGTGCAGTTATTAGTTCAACTAATGATATCTCAGTCAAGTTCATCAACTGTAAGCACCTCCACATGTCCTAATTAAGTGCAAATAATATTCAGGGTGATGATAATTGATCTTGATGCACATCAAGGAAATGGCCATGAAAAAGATTTTTCTAATGACGGTATGATTCTTACCTTTCCTTGTGGTGGCATTATGTGACTTTTAATGCTATTAAGTGATTGTGCCTGGATCTTAACAGGTAGAGTTTATATTCTGGATATGTACAATCCTGAAATCTATCCATTTGTAAGTTGCATCCTTATTTCTCTTCCTCTCTGTCTCTCTCATGCACGGGCTTCTCTTTGTAATCTGAGTGTTAGAATGCTATTGTCATGAAGAAATCATAGGTAATAGTACTCTTTTTACTCCTGCACAGTTTAACGTATGGGATTTCTTTTATTTAGGATTATGAGGCTAGGAGATACATTGATCAGAAGGTTGAAGTAGTGGTGAGCCGTATTACCTCTTGGTAAAGTTAGCTTCAAAGTGTTCTGTTCTTCATCTGCCATACCTTTTTTATTGCATATATTTCAACAGAGTGGCACCACAACAAATGAATACTTGAGGAGACTAGATGAAGCACTCAAGGTAATAATTTATTACCATATTCTAGCTGCTTTACCTTTTATTATTAATTTATTTATTTTTGCTGCATTGATGCAATTGGAAGTTTTGCTTTTGAGATCCATGGAGAACTTATAGGACTGAATTAATTTGATCTTTTAACTTTTTGTCTGGTAGAAATTTAGAACCAGGAAAGGGATTGTTCAGTTTCTACGTGATTACATGCGACACTTCACCCGGTGCGCCGTCTGATACCATGTAGGCATGCATGTTCAAGCTTTCTACCCATAAGCACACCCAATCAGTGGCTATTGGAAATTTGAAGCATTACAAGTAGCGAGAGACATGAAATTATGCATACTGAGCTCAGTTAAAAAATCTTAAATTTTTGGAACTAGTGGCCTGCAAGAAATAATATGTTAAGCTTCCTTTGTCTTGTTGATACATTTTTCGTAGATGCATTGTAATATGAATGGTACTTGAAGACACTCGATGCAAATGAGTGACAAATGTACTATATACATGATACATGCAACTTTTTATTTTCCTGAAAATAGTGTTTATGTTGCAAGTTTTCCTATCAATTTCTACTGATTTGGTAATTTTTTCTAAATCAAATTATTTATTTGTTTTTACTCCTGAAGAACTCCATCATGTTATTTCAAGGCACCACATACCTTAAGCAAAGGTTAATGTCATATTATATATCACATCTACATCTGTCACTTAATTAAATCAGTATGATATACAGTTTGACAATAATGCCATAGTGAGCGTGTGAGGGGGAGGGACTCACTATTTCACCTAACATGTGACCTTGGGGCTGGCAAGGAGCTTAGCGCCAGATCTTGAAGGAGAAACAATTCTGGTTTAATCTATAATCTCCGGCAGATATTTAGAGTAATATTGGATAGATGATATAAATTTGTGTCTATTTGGTTCTGACATGGTTTACTCAGGCTAGTGTGTAAGAAGACAATGGACTATTGCACTGACAATATAATTTTCTTTTCGATTGACTTATTTATTTATTTATTAGAGAGCAGCACCATGTCCTTCACTATGTCCTCACTTCAATAAATGGCTACCTTCAGCTCGTGTCTCCTGCACTATGTACATCTGTGAAGTGGTTCAAGAGTGCTGATGTTCTCATACTAATTCGTTTCTTGTTAAATATGTGCTCTTCATTCTTTCTCTAATAACAAATTCATTTTAGATTTAGGTGTCGTGTTCATTGGTTAATTTTACTTCTTTTTGTATAGACTGCATCACTAGGATGATGTTGTTAGCTTATCGTGGCCAAAAAGGAAATAAAATTACATAATCAGAATTAAGAAAAAAAAAATGTGTGAATATATGATGTGTGCTTGGATTGAGTGTATGATAAGAACTATCATTTACCAATATTGTTACTCAGTCTGGAATGTGAACATCATATACGGTTTTCTATCTGATAGTAAGAATTATTCATATATTGTAGTATTTCCTGTTAAAAGTACTACTCTTTAAGGAAATTGTGATTGTTTGAATTCGAATTGTAGGTCGCTGGGCGTGTGTTTGATCCTGAGTTGGTGATTTACAACGCTGGTACTGATATTTTGGAGGGAGATCCACTGGGCCGGTTAAAGGTAATTTTATTTTTGGATTGTATAATCAATAAACCCCTGCTTTCTTTGTGTTGCACATCTGTGTAAAATATTAAAGATGCAATAGTATATATAAAGATGTAAAAGTCAACTAAATGAATTACTTAAGTTAAATATTCAACATAAAGATTGCAAAACCAAGTAAATCAAGTACTTGAGTTCAACAGTGAATAATCAAACATATTAAAACTAAAACAAACAAACATAAACATCATATATGGAGTGCATAACATGTTCATAACATGTTTTGTCTTTTTCTTCATCTGTATATTTGGCTGATGCAAGAGAAAATGTGATAGTTATGATAATTGTGAAGGTCAAGTTATTTATTTTAATTGCAAGATTTACACGAGGGAGATAATAATCTTAGAATTTGCAATGGCATATGACATTGTTTCTAGACCATAGTTGTTAAAGGCTCAAGGTGCACAAAAGCGCAAATGCCTCTTGGAGCCTGAGGCGCAAGGCGAGGCGCGCGCCCGACTGAAGTAAGGCGCACATTGAAAAAAAAAAAAAAAACAAAACCCACCCAATAAAATATTAAAGATGCAATAGTATATATAAAGATGTAAAAGTCAACTAAATGAATTACTTAAGTTAAATATTCAACATAAAGATTGCAAAACCAAGTAAATCAAGTACTTGAGTTCAACAGTGAATAATCAAACATATTAAAACTAAAACAAACAAACATAAACATCATATATGGACTGCATAACATGTTCATACATTTATATACATTCACTTATTACTTGCATATACTATATGAGATTTATCTACTATATGAGATGTAATATATATGCATATATGGACTGCATGATACCATATACCAACTGATATGTATACTACAATTTATTCCAGCAGCATAGAATTGTATACTACAATTTATTCCAGCAGCACAGATTATAAAAAAATAAAATAAATAAATAAAAGAAGAGGCTGAACTCTGAAGAGCAGAAGCACAGAGAGCCGAGAAGAAGAATAGAAAAAAAAAAAATACCATTGAAAGACACCATTACGTTGGACAAAGATGTTTGGACTGACACTAAGGGGATCCATTACGTCGGACTAACCCAAGGATCCATTACTGATTTTTAATTAATTGTGTCCCAGAATCAAATTTTAATATAAGAAAATATTGTTGAAATTTGCGCGAGCCTTTGAGATTTTATAGAGAAGAAGAAGAAAAGAAGAAAAAAAAAAAAAAAAAAAAAAAAAAAAAGACGAAAAAAACTGGAGAAAGAAAAAATAAAAAGAAGAAGACAAAAAAAAAAAAAAACAAATCTGCCAGGACTCGAGAGAGAGCCGAGACTCGAGAGAAGAAGAAGAAAAGAAGAAAAAAAGAAAAAGAAAAAGAAGAATAAAACTAGAGGAAAAAAAATAAATAAAAAGAAGAAGAAAAATAAAAATAAATGATATAAATTTGGCAAGAAAGAGCCGAGAGTCGAGAGAAGAAAAGAAGAAGAAAAGAAGAAAAAAAAAAAATTTGACAGATCCGACAGATCTGAGAAGAGAAGGAGGAGAGAAGAAGAAGAGAAGAAGGAGAACTTACCTGTTGAGTGTTTGCCGACGGCGCGACGCAGATCCGAGAGTCCGAGTGAGCACTGTATTGCCTTCGCTGCCTGTCTTCTTCTTTCCTTTGCTTCTTTTTTTTATTTTTATTTTTATTTTGCAAGGCTTTCATCTTTGAGCTTTCTACTGTATCAAGTAATAAAATAATAGAATACAATAATATAACAATACACACTTACACAGAGTCACAGACAATAAACAAACAAAAAAAAAATAGCGAAAAAAAGTTAAAAAACCACAGTTTCATGCAGGCGCGCCTTTATAGCGCCTGTAGCCTGGAGCCTTGGTCGGAAAGGCTCACGCCTCTCTTAACACAGACGCCTTAAGTGTACCCAAGGCGCAAACATGGCGCCTGGAGGCGCCTTGCGCCTCAGGTGCGCGCCTCTGGCGCCTTTGACAACTATGTTCTAGACCCATGTTTAAGAAAGGCTAATGATAATGTGGCATTTGAGAGTTGTAACTCGTATTTTGAGAGTGCCTTATCACAGCCTGCAGTGTAGTCCAATTAGATGTGCATCTATTAAGGGATGGAAAAAAGAGACGAGTAACTGTTTACAGATAATTTAATTTAAGAATGAACTGGAAGAAGACAAATATATATTATCTTGGTAGATCCCATGCTTGTATGACAAATCTGGCCAAGCCCAGAAACTTGCACATCTTGGAATACTCATTTGTTTTTGTGTCATAAAGTAGATGGCATACAACTGATTTTAATGGTTTAAGGAATGATAGACATTCATTTTAGTAGTATGAGTTGTACCGATTGACGTGATGTATCTTTTTTAATTTATAAGATCTGTTTTTTGTATAAAGTTTGGCTA